GTATATGTATATATATATATATATATATATGTGTGTATACATTTATGTATGTGTATATATGTGTATATGTATATATATATATATATGTATATATATATTATATATATATATGTGTGTGTGTGTGTGTGTGGGTGTGTATGTCTGTATATATGTGCTACATTATATTATATCTCTGACAGTTGTAGGGTTGTATATATATATATGTATATTTATGTATATGTATATATAAAATGAATACGAATGCACAAAGTAGAGTCGTATACGTTGATAATAGACATAAAACAATCAGTGTTTAATGGACATAAAACAATTTTTTATTTCGAATATTTCGAGCACGCCTGTGCTCTTCCTCAGCGATAACACAACATAACATTTAATATTATCAAGACATACGTGGAACCTACAAACATTATGTATGTATGTAATATATATATATATATATATATATATACATATATATATATACATATATATATATATATATATATATATATATATAATATTACTAATTTAAAATTTCAACATTTTTCTGACTTTCGGGTATAGGAACTTGTTCCTCCTTTGTTCTGACCCCCTCTTATTTCTTTTGTATAGGCCTATATGTAAATGTGGAGGAAATAAATATATTATATTATTATTAAATGAAAATTGTTTCAGCAAATAATATAAACTGTATTTTACATGTTCTAGATTCAGGTTCGCATGCCCAGTAAATTTTTGTAATACAGGTGTACACGTTTTTTTATTTAGTTAGTTAATTATAAAACATTAACGTTGTTTTTTTTTTTCTATCCTCAGGTGCCAAGGGAAAAACTCCAGTGGCGAAGACCCCTGTGACTTCATAATTGTTGGTGCTGGTACGACTAGTTTATCTCTAGCAGGAAAATTAGCCGAAGTACCTCACTGGAAGATATGTGTTTTTGAACGAGGACCAGAGGAATATGGAATGAGCGAGTGGTACACGGGCTCGTATAAATTTACAACTCCTCACGATCCATTTTGGCTGACACAACCGGCTTTAGGTACCAACATAGGGTCGTCTTCAAAACCGTATAATAAGATAAAGGATGCTCGGCATATCTACATCCCCCGGTTCCGGGGACGCGGAGGAACCTCTCGTGTATACGGAGCTATAGCCAGAAGAGCAAGTCCTGCGGTGCTTAACTTATGGCCAGACGGCTGGAAGCACGACCAATTTTCAAAGTATTACAAGCAAATAGAAGATCATTACTGTCACTACGACTCTGTGGAAGCCACCGGAATATCTCCAGAAGATTGTGAGGAATGGCATGGCAAAGGAGGTGCAATGCAGCTAAACAGTCAGATTGAAGAAGCATTCAGAAAATTTCCCAGAGAAATGAAATACTTATGTGAGGATGAAACAAAACCATGGAAAGGATACGCAGCTGACTACAACGGCCCAAAGGAAGACAGAATAAGCTGCAGTGTATTTCAACAATACAAGCTGCGAATAGAAAACAAACACCCGACTGAGGCAGCCCGTCGCAACCGCACGTCCAAGACAGGTCGTGGAAGCAGCTACACGGGTTATTACCAGTACACTGAAAATAAGCCATATATGTATACCTCTTCCACAGTAACTAAGATCTTGTTTGAGAATGGTAAAGCTGTTGGCGTTGCATATCTTGATGTAAACACGAATTCAGTTCGTACACGACTTGCCAAGAAAGAGGTGATTGTAGGTGCTGGCTCATTTGATACACCTCATTTATTACAAGTAAGTGGGGTAGGTCCAAGGGATTTGCTGAAGAAGATCGGTGTAGATGAAGTTGCTGACAATCAACATGTGGGTCAACACTTATGGGATCATATATCAGTGCCGTATGTACTCAAACTTAGGAGTGATTCTGATTCGTTTTGCTGCATGACTAACGAAACTGATGTGCCAACCGTTAACATCGATGGCACAATACATAAAACAGAAGACCTCGATAGAATCAACGGACCATTTTCTTGGATCATTCATTACAGATCGAACATTGAACGAACGCCGCAGGAAATGAGTGACATACAGCTCTATGTAATGGGTAACTCCAAGCTGTTTGACGAGGTAGGCCCATTGTGTACCTCTGACACTCCTCATTCCGGTCAAAATGAGTACAGTTATCAGGGTGAGTTTCTTCAAGAGGAAAACACTAATGACGACAGCCCTAACGAAGGTACCATTCGTATTATTGACCAGTGGCCAGAATACCGTGGTTCTATTAATGCTACTACACCAAATATATTTGATAAACCTCGTCTAGAGTATGGCTGGAACTACACTCTAAATGGCGAACCTTCACCTGAATTTCAGAAAGTGTCACAGTTAGTTCGAGATCAGGTGAGGCTTCTACGGGACATGTTCTTTGGTGAGAATGTCAGACCTAGCTTAGGTGAACTGGTCTTAGATGAAGTTACACCAGGACTGAATTTGAAAACAGATGAAGAGTTAGATGCCTGGATGAGAGGTATGCTTGTTTCAGCGTTGCATCCAGTAGGTACATGCAAAATGCCAGAATGTGTAGATGAGTTTTTACAGGTTAGAGGTGTTTCCAATTTAAGGGTTTGTGATGCTTCAGCGTTTGCTACACAAATCGATGGTAATCCATCCGCTACACTCTTTGCTATGGCTGAAAAACTGGCTGAAATGCTTAAATTTCAACATCTCAAGTATATAAACGTAGCAGTCAGAAATGAATTATCAATCTCAGTTCATGAAGACATCCCGATGATCCCTAGTACTGCCATAAAAGAGATGATTCAGTCAACCACTAAGTGCATTGATACTACAGTTTCGGTTAAGTGGCAGCCAACAGGTAAAGGGTCATCTGCTATAATCATCAATGTGTCTCTGATATGTAGTGAGAGATTCAACGAACGCGATATTGCAGACCAAGTAGCTGAAAAGACACTTAGTTTAATTGCTGATGGATGTGGTGTACAAGACTATCCGCCATTTGACAGAGCAGAAGCTACTCTACCATCAGATAGACCGACACCAAAACATAGAGCATCACCCTATGTCTTTATTGTATGGTGCCAGTCCTTCAAAAATGTATCGCCAGACAAATTGTGGGAAAATGCCGGTAAGTGGAATGGAGATAATGGCAGGCAGCCAGGCTCAACCAACCGATTTAAACTCAACTGTCAGCCTGAGGCAACTTCAATACTAAAGTATGTGAATGACACCGCTAGAGAACTGATTTATGTGGAACCAGAATTGCCCTTGCCAGTAACCAACTATATTTCAACAAAAAAAGTTGTCACCAGAGAATCTGGTAGTTCATCTGTCTTTTTTCGAACTGGATCGATGATTTCAGATTCTGATGAAAGCTGGTACGATGTAGCCTCATACTTACTTGAAGATGTGTACCAAAGCTCTGGCCGCCGATTATCTCGACAATATCCCCCACTCAGTAATCAAGTAGGTTGGTGGACTGAACTATCAGATGGACTTTTATATTATGAAACGACAGGAATTCGTACAAATGAACAGGTAGCTTCGTTCGACCTTGATGGCACTATTATCAAAACCAAGAGTGGTAATACATTCCCAGAAGACGAAAATGACTGGATCTTTACATCTTCTAATGTCAAATCCATTATTCAACTAAATAACAAAGACCACATCAACAACGTAATCATGAGCAATCAGAATGGCATTGGTACCGGCTCCCAGGATAAGGAAGAATGGATGGATAAAATCGAGAAAATCACCGCGGAACTCGGAGTTCCTATGTATGTGCTGGCTGCTACGGAGAAGAACAAGTATCGCAAACCTAATGTGGGAATGTGGGACTATTATAGCTGCACCTTGAATCAGTTTAAAACAATCGACAAAGATAAGTCTATATATGTAGGTGATGCTGCTGGGCGACCTGATGATTTCAGTGACAGCGATAAGAAGTTCGCAGAGAACATTGGCATTGCATTCAAAAATAATGATGAATATTTTGAGCCAGGCAATGGTCACAGTGAACTGTAAATGTATTTTGCTTACATGTTCTAATTGTATTAGTAATAGTTCTTTTTGCACCATTGTTTTAGTATGAACATAATTATAACACTGTTCTAGCTTCGGTTGATATCGTATTCTTAGATTCGCTTGTTTGATTCGCTTGCAGGGTACACCACACTATAGTATTTTCCAAAAGAATCATACATGTAATTTTAGTATTGTCACAGATGATATTTGTATAAAAGTCAGCAAATCAATCTCATAGATAAGCTACCGTAATTTTCACATAGGCTAATGAAAGGTGCATGAGAAACTATTAGCTGACCATACAATGAAACTTTTCAATTCTATAAAAATGTAGCACGTCATAATAGACTGGCTACGCCAACAGCCTAATTAATTTATTTAAAAAAAAGCAAGGAAAATTGCATCAGAAATTATAGTATTAAGATGCATATGTGAGAAATACTTATGATTGAGAACTTTGGTATTGCATTCAAAATTAAAAATGAATACTGTATTTTCAAGTCAGGCAGTGGTCACGATGAACTGTAAACGTATTTCAATTATTTGCATGTTCATTGTATTTTACAATAATTCCATTTGCACCATTGTTTTGGTATGAACATTAATTATAGCACGTAGCTGATTATTTTCTAGCTTCGGTTGATATATTTTTAGATTCGCTTGTAAGAATCGCTTGCAGGGTACACACCACACTGTAATCTTTTCCGAAAAACAAAACAAAAATCATACATGTAATGTTTATATTGTCAGATATTATTTGTATAAAAGTCCACAGATCTGTGGTACAGATAAGCTAACGAAAGATACATTTGTAAAGTTTTAGCTGACAATAAAGTGAAACTTTTAATATACTGTAGTACGTCATACACCAACGCCAACAGCCTAGATTTTTAAAAACAAGGAAACTTGGATCAGAAATGATAGTATTAAGATGCATGTGTGAGGAACATGGAGGATAATATTCAAGTACATGTAAAATATTACTATACGTTCTGTAGCAAATTAAAAAGTTCGTTTGACTTACAATGTAAACGCGATTTGTTATTTCTTTTGTAATTGTATCACGTTGTAGTACGGCCGTTACATGGCAAAACAACGTAACTTGAAATTTTCACTTTTGGAGTTATTTTTTGCATGTTTACAACTTGCAATAAATGTTCGTACCCTTTTGAAATTTTGCAATTTGCAATTTTAATTACAACCGTTTGTTTATTGCAAACTTATAAAGTTTGACATATTTTTGGATTTTGTCACGTTTTGGGCAATCACATGCATTATCTAGATTGTTCATACGTCGCTGTTATTGATTATTTGATTTTGCTTTGCAAACTCCATCTGCTTAAATTCCATACAATGCCAAACCAATGCAATATACTTACAGCCCAGGTGTGAATGCAAATAGTGAAACACAGCTATGTAGAATGTTAATAGGACGGAAGGCTCGGTTGCAGTAGGTACAGAGGATATTTTGTCATTCTTAACGAGTCCTACGAAACTCTTACCTACAACATTAGTTGGCGGTCCGTGGCCACTATTGATGCACAGTAGAGATTGCAGCTTTAGATTTCCGATCTTGTCCACGGGCCACCAACTAGTGTTTGTATTATGTGGCAGGTTTGTTGTTTTTATGGGTATATTCCATTTACCTATTAAAATATATATTGCTAATAAATATCTTTTGAGATTCAGCGGGCCACCATTGATGCACAGTAGAGATTGTATCTTTTCTGCTAAATGTCGTTGGCATGCATGGTTATTGCATGTTTGCACCTTGGCAATAAATTACTATTCTAAAATTTTGCAAGATTGTATATCTATAGAAATTGCGTTTATATGTACAATTTTAATTACAACCGTTTGTTTATTGCAAAGTTATTAGCGATATTCACGTTGTTTTGCTTTGGAACTCGGTATTGTATAAAGTGTGACATATTTTTGGATTTTACCACGTTTTGGGCAACATATGTATTTTCTAGTATTTTTTGTATTTTTGTTTTTTTTTTTTGTATTATAACCAGTTGATTTTCCCTTGCAAACCTCCATCAGCTTAAAACAATTTTTAAATCCCATTCCGAGGCAAAACAACGATTCTACATCGTAAATTCTACATAAACCGTTTTGCCCCATAATCTTGCAGTTTTACCACTGAAATTCACTAGTTTTTAAGTTAGTTGGTGGTGCTACTCCCACAACGACTCACTAAGGAGACCTGAAATTTTCACAGGTAAATCAGAAGTGTTTAATATGCTTCCAAATTATATTATCTCAAAATCGACGTTGTTTTGCATCGGGATGGTCGAGTTGTCATTCGTGAAATAGTTCAACTACAATAACTCACTTTGGACACCCGTATTAAGGTGACACCATTTCGGCCACAAAACGCGGAGAAGTATATCACTGTAGCCAACCCCCAATCGGGCGACATTCCTATTAAGGGGACAATTTTTTTTGCCCAAGGTTTCCACAACATTGGGGAGCACTATACTTATATTATTTTTCTTGTTGCGTTTAAAAAACAATAGTCTGACGTTTATAATTCGTTTTGGCGTTGGTAGCAAAGAATAACAAGCCCTATGCATAATGGTTTGAAAGAGATTTTTGTAGACAAAGAGAGGTAGATAGTGAAAGGACAAAGATATATAGAAACATAATTTTTAATGAAAGCAAGGAAAAATAAGTTGAATGAGAATATTGAAAATAGAATTATGTGAGAATAACAAATAAAACGAAAAAAGTGAGAGGTGATGTTTACAGCAATAAAAATGATATCTCCACAGATATCGATTAATATCGATTAAAGAATTATAGTGTACACAATTTTACCTCCTGAGAAGATAAGGGCTATAGTTTCAAGGCGTAAAATGTACCTGCTGGCCTAAGAATATCTGTACGAAATTACCAGGGATTAATCAATTCAATAAATGCCTAAGCAGACAACTGGAAATAAAGATTGGTCAGAGGCCTAATTCTAGTGTTCGATTGACTTTACTCGCACCATTCATATTGGCTGGCGAATTAAATGTTAACTACTGGGATATAATACATGGTTTCCTCAATTGAAGAGAATCATTGATAAAAATTGTAGACTATATCAGTGGCGGATTCAAGGGGGCCCCAGCCGGGCCTGCCCATCCCCCCACTAATATTTACGATTTTGGATAGGGATATATCCCTCCATCTGTCAAAAGCCCTTCCTGGGCCCCTCTATTTCAAATTCCTAGATCCGCCACTGAATATTACGCATAAATTAATCTGTTGGTACTGGCATAGCCCTATACTACCGCAAACTCAATATCGACTGTTATAACCTTTGCTTAATTGGCCTACGTCATAAATTGTGCTTCTCTACAAAGATTTATTGAAGCGTGTAGCACCCATCGGTTTCTGCATATTCACTAGTTTCCGTGCTTTCTACGGTTTCCTGTTTCCTAGAATAAATATAATTTTATATTCACATGCTATTTGAATATATATAGGTAGCTATTTATGTGTTTCTGATCGTGTGTTTGAGACTAGTCCCGTTTCTTTGATTTTTTACACGGTGTATAAGCACAATCAATAAACTCCGATCCATTTAAAAAAGGAGCAGCAGTCGAGCCTGACAAGTTAACCAAACTCCAAGTTGTTTTGAGCACTCACGATGGGCAACAATTCCTCGAATCTTGCCCGCGAAAGGAGCAGGGCGGTGCCAGGTACTGTTAGCGGGGGGGTTGACCCATACATAGTACTAGCAAGACGGCGGGGAATCGATCCACCACGATTCAGTATCCCCTTACGCCTCGCAGATCACGTTGATAACCTCGCTTTGTACGATTACCCGTTTGAAAATCTGGTTTTTGCGGGAGGTGGGAACAGGCTTTTTGCATACACAGGTGCTTTGGAGGTAAGCTGGTTTTTCACATAGTAGATTCACGCTTATTAGTATTGTTTTAATCCATATATCATTATATTATAGTTGTGCAAAAAAAATCTCTGGGACATTTTAAGGTTGTTTTTTTTTTAAATTCAACTATCATTAATATGTAGAATTTTTGAGTAAACTAGTAGGAAACCAGGAAACATATGAAACAATTTGGTTCTCTTGATAGCAGACCTATTCCTAAGAATTATAATGACCCCTTTCTAGTTTTAAATCTCATTGTGTTTGCCGTAATAGAAAATGAATCCCGATTTGAAAAAAGCAAACACAGCATAACCACACCATTCATGTATTGTGTTATGTGTTTTAATACCTCCTTGGTTAAGCTGAATTTACGCTAGACACGATCAGGGCCTGTTTATACTTCAACGATAACGATAAAAAAGCTAAAAAGCGATTGGTTATATAGAAAACAAAAGAAATAAGAGAAGCTTTTACACTAGGACGATTCGATAACGATTTATCGTGTATACGATAACAAGATATTTTAACAAATCAAATCAGATGACGTCATAATCATGGAAAAACGATAAAATCGTTGCTACTTACTACGATTTTAATGTTTTCCATGATTATGACGTCATCTGATTTGATTTGTCCAAATTATTGTTATCGCATAACTGATAAATCGTTATCGAATATTTCTAGTGTAAAAACTTCTCTTATTTCTTTTATTTTCTATATGAACAATTGCTTTTTAGCTTTTTTTTTTATCGTTATCGTTATCGTTGAAATATAAACAAGCCTTAACGACATGACAACGATATATCATCGCATCTTTTATATTCTTCAAAACTGAGCGCAGTTTTATCGTGTCGTTGTCTTGTCGTTATCGTGTCTAGTGTAAATATAGCTTTACGGGAGTCATTGATACAGAAGGTTGGGACTACATCTAATTGAGTTCTCAGGGGACATTAGGGATGTCCTCAGGTAAATTCAATCCGTGTCACTCATTTAAAAATGGGTCTTGTCGTATACTTAATATGACAAATAATAATAATTGGTAAATTTGGTTCAACTTCATGCTTTAGCTGATCAATAAGTACTGTAGTACCTTTAATGTATAAAGCTGTATTCATATCAGATTCCTACCGGAATTCGGAAAGCGTTTTCGAAGCCCTGAACGCCAGCCTCTCTATATTCTTTCACACTGATTCGATTTTCTGATCACTTCTATAGACTTTCCGATCCGAAAATTTGGATTTTGTGTGACGTGTGAACGCACATTAACTCATATTCCGCCGTAAATTGTATTATATTTAGGTGAAGGAAAGAGAAAAGCGAAGGATTGGTGGAAAATTATTGTATGACTTAGTGTGTATTGTGTGTGTGATTTTTCCCCTAGGACCACAATCTAAAACATTTTTTAAATGATTGTGTCATCCTGGTTAAAGAGGTTAATAACTAAATTAATTAATTAATTAATTAATTATAAAAGAGCTATGTAGACCTACCCTAGTTAGGCTATATTACACTATAATGAGCGTCTACGAAATTAAAGCAACGTTCATGCGATAGTTTTACTGGTCTTCAGCTTTGGAAGGAGGAAAGACGTTTTCTATTTGTTCCATGCCTGCGAATTATAATGGTGTAACAACAGCTTTATAGAGTCAATTGATATTATAATTATGATATGTGGCTCATTTTGAGGACAAGTGTTGAAAAGTGATGAAAAGTGGCTTTTTTGTTATAAATGACATGCACAATTGGAGAGATTCACCTTTGTATTACAACTCAAAAGCACGTTATATTGGTTGGTATGTATGAATACCGCTTCGATTGACACTACTTTGGTAGCTGGTATGTTACATATTGCTCAGGACGTTACATTGTACAAATTCAACCGAGCATATCCTAATATAAATTGGTAAATATTAAGCCTTTGAGTCAAGTTAATTTAGTTGTAGGCCAAAGTTCACAATTGATTCACATAATCTAATATCGGACCTACGTTCTCTACCACCACGTTCTCTACCATCAAAAAAGTTCTATAACCAAGTAACTTTGTGAAACTTTGATTTGGAGGTTCAACTGCCAATAGTCATGATGACGATGCATACTTCAAAACAATGAGTCATCCTGATTTTTAAAATCATTTTATCAAGTGCACAGTAGCACATTGAAAATGAAAATGTAGAACAGTAACTCTTTTATCATGATGGAGGTGTAGAGTTGAAATTTCCCCTAACCAGTGTTTTCCCGAAGCCATTTGCATGTATTATTTGCAGGAACAATAGACTGCAACAGAATTTAAAATATAAGATATCATTCAGTCGTCATTACATTTCAAAGCAGGCATTTCGGAAAGACGGTTGTATTTTATTAATGTGATACCGTCCAAGCATAAGAATTACGAATTCCAATTGTTTCAATTCAGGTATTGAACAATAAAATATTGGCATGTAATGGAAGCTTGTTAATATGTATTTCACTTTAAATTGAAATAAGTAGTTAGGTTGACTCTTAAATACCGACATAACGAAGATATATTCATAATAATAATAATAATAATAATATATTTATTTCCTCAAATACAAGAAGCAAAGGAGGAGCATGTCAAATACTCTCAAATATTTTCTCGTGCAGCCTTAGTCCTACTGTTTGTTTTCCCATTCTCAAAGTGGGAGTTTCCTTCGACTTGTCAATTTCGATGGTGTCTTTGAACAAGCTTACATTACCTTACCTATCTGCTTCGCACCAAGTGGCGCTTAAGTCCTCAACAGATTCCTCCATCTGTTCTTATCAGCTGCCGCAGATGTTGTTCTTCCCCATGGGTCCATCCTGCTCTATTTTTTCTTTTTCTGTTGTCCGCCGCCATGTTGTCTTAGGCCTTGCATTCATTTTCTTTCCTTCGGGTGCCCATGTCATAGCAATGTTGCAGTCATTTCTGTGGTCCTGTCTCATAGTTACCAACCTGAGAGATTTGAAATGCGTGAGTGACTATACCAGTTGGCTGGGGGGGGGGGGCCCAAGCGGCAGGGGAACCTCAAGTTACTGCATCACCGTTTTTATAGTTTTAATACAACCAATTTCTTCTAATTTTAAATACATTTTCCCCTGATAAGATAGTATAATACATACTCCAAGTATCGAAATGCACGCCATCGTATCGGGATTCAATATTTCGACATTTATGTCATCATCGGGAATGATGATTATTGGATAGTATATGGGGACGTAGATAACCTGGAGGTCGTGGTTTCGATTCCCACACGAGCCAAGTTTTTTTTTTTCTTTTTTTTTTCTTCACTCCTATGATATTTCCTAAGGCAAACTCACATCTTAATAGCATTTGTAGTAATTTCCATCTGCTTAGATAATCTGGAGGTCGTGTGTTCGATTCCCACACCAACCATTTTTTTTTTAAATTTTTCTATTGGGTAGTAATTGCTGATATCTAATTTGAATATTTTCAATTCCTGATGACATAATTAATGTCAAAATATTGAATACCGACGCGTGCATTTCCATACTTGGAGTACGGTATGTATTATACTATCTTATCTGGGATTAATCAGTGGACCTTTCGGTTTTTTCCCCTGAAATTGTGATAAATCGTTATCACGCATAGACTTGTGTTAAATGCGTGACAAATTTAGGATCACGCATGTGTTTCTGCAAAATGCGAGTTTTACCAAAATTACTTTGAAATGCGGTACCGTCCCGCACGATGCGAGACGGGTAACTATGCTGTCTTTGAGCAAGGCGCTTGATATATTTTGCTTCTCTCAACCCATGAGAACAAATCGGTACCTGGTTGAATTGCCCGCTACTAACCAACGACAGAATACTCCAGTGAACCAAATGACAAGAGATATAAACGTCAAAAGAAACGGCACTCTATAAACGCTCATTTAAACACACTCAGGGTTTCGCAATTTAATTATGTAGTCCAGGCGCCACACTAGAAATTTGCTTAGCTCGAGTGGTCTAAAGTCACCTCATTTTACCTTATTTTGTCAGCTAAACCTTCATCAAACCATCAATTCTCTCCCGCATTCGGTCACACCCCCACTAGTCCCATCCATGTCAATACTTCTCGATACGCCACTGGCGTAAACGCAGACATAATCTACACAGAACGGTATTGTAAGATCATTAAACATTAAAATTGGATTGTTTGGTATTGTCATTTAGGTTTTGCATGAAACTGGAATTCTAAAGAATATCAAGAGGTTTGCTGGAACAAGCTTGGGAGCCCTAACAGCATGCTTTGCAGCGCTGGGTGTCGGCCCAAGAGAAATTGTTGTCGAAGTGGAAAAAGTTCGCAGAGATATTAGAAAGATGCTGAAAGGTAGATTACATAGGTCTACAATATTTTGTATACATGTCATGTATAAGGGCTTGCACAATTAAGCCGGGCACTCATCGCGCCCAATCGTCGTCGACAGACGCGATTTTATTGAAAACGCAACCCCACGACGCGCGCGCAACGGACTGTCTGTGCAGACTACCACCGACAATCAGCAAACGGCGACACGCCGTCTAGCACTCACGCGGGGGCCGGAGAGTTGGATTCGTCGACCAACGGTCGTACGACGCATTGAGTTCCCGGCTTTTGACATAATTGTTGCCTAATATTTTTAACATTCATTTAAAAATTGGGACATGAACAAATGACATTTCAATAACACTAATCAATAGTGTTTTCATACGTGCTCACTTAAAGTAAAAACTTTAAACTGATTAAGTTACCAAGTTCCAAAGAACACAATCGAAACTATCTTCCGCAGGAACAGGTAGTCCAGACAACAAACCTCTCCTTGTTACACGTCTTCATTTAAAACTTTCCAATGTCCTTATACAATAATAGAACGGCCCATAATGAATACGTCTATGCATTTCCCCTCAAGTCCATTACCATCATAGGTAATTCGTTAAAAAATGGCGTTGAATGAAATAATTGCGATGGTTAGCACCTCGGAACCTACAACATGTAATGTTATTCGA